TCACTAACCAATCACTGTCGCCCCGATTTAACCTTCACAGAGGGACAAGGCAGGGTTGTGCGCTGTCGCCTATGCTCTTCACCCTAAGTATTGAACTCTTGCCAAGCGATCAGATCTCATTCAATACCGCTATAATACTAAAGAACTCTCTCACCAATATTTCTCCTTAGTAACAACCCAAGCGATCAGCTCTCTGATGATTATTTGTTTGTACCATACGAATAAATTGGAACATACCCGGCTACGTGCAAACACCTCCGGATAGAACATCTTCCAGTAAGTTATATTACATTTACGATTTAGCCGCTCTTATCAGCGCTTACAATACATTCACCCATGCAGTGGGACCACTTTACAATTCTATTTTTTTTTTTTTATTTTTATTTTTTAGGGGTAGAAGATTCTATCTCTATCAGTTATCCTTAAAGAGGTGGGTTCAAATTCTCCAAGGTGTGAGTGATCGCTTCCAGGCTGAGGAGCTTGTCCACAATTTGCCAGGCGCGACAGTGACTGGTAGCGGAACTTGCTTCCGCAATGAAGGAGCATGCCAGAGGTGATGAACCATGCCCTCGTTGGGTGTATGGACGATAGAGCTAAGGTAAGATGCGATCCCCTCACAGGATAGCAAGCAGTATGAACAGATGCTTCAACTGGAGCCTGAGTGTGCATGACGGGTGACGTGAGAGACTGGGAAGGTGACCCAACGGCTGCGGCTTCTGGATGGTTTGGGTTAACACAGCAGGAGCCAGCCAACAGCGATTGCGTATCCAGACGGAGTGACATTCTGATTAGGACTGGCCGCTTCCTTGTAAGGCAGGTCGTTTTCAAGTATCTTCAGAAAATGTATCTACCTTGGAATTGTAGTTCCCAAAAATACTCCTTACTATTTAAAGAGAATTTCCCTTCTCTGATGCAAAATCTCAAGGCAAACACACAATTTTGGAGAACTCTCGCAATTTCTCTGCTCGGAAGAATTAATGCCATTAAAATGGTCTTCCTCCCACAACTGCTCTACCTATACCAGAACATCCCAGTATTCATACCTAAATCCTTTCATAAACAACTGGACTCTATTATCAATCCTTTCATCTGGGATTATAAAATACACAGGATAGGTAAAAAAAACCTATGTAAATCCAAGATGGAAGGAGGATTGTCTCCCCCAAATTTTATATTTTACCATTGGGCCGCTAACCTCCGCGCTGTTACGTTTTTGCTGGATGACGCACCTCCGCCATCCAGCTGGCTTAGCATGGAGCGGGAGGAGTGTCACCCCTTCTCTATTGGTGCTGTGAATTTGTCACCTGTCAATCTGGAGATGTCACTTTACCGTAAAAATCCTATTATACATAGCACAGTCCGAATCTGGAAGCAAATTAAAGTCCACTTTGAGCTTAGACCAATATCATTCATGCTCCCTGTTGCCAGGAATCCCTCCTTTGCCCCCTCTAACCTTGATAACACCTTTGAGCGTTGGGGAGAGTTGGGGATAAGTACCATGGGGGATTTATATATAGGAGGGACCTTTGCTTCCTTTGAATCGCTGAGGGAAACTTATAACCTTCCCAGAAGTAACTTTTTCAGATACCTACAAATTAGAGACTATGTTAGAAAACACCTCCCAACATTTGGGAATGCTAAACCTTCCATGTTTGACGGATGCATAAAAATATGCCCCACCTCAGACAAACTGATATCTCGTCTATATGACGCTTTTCAATCTGTAAGCGCACCCTCTACTGATGCCATTAAGGCAAAATGGGAGGAAGAACTAGGGACTGATATTTCGGTGGCAGACTGGGAGGATAGCTTGGAGTATATCCACACCTGCTCCATTAACTCCAGACATCGTCTCATACAATATAAGGTATTACACAGATTACACTATCCCAAAACTAAACTGCATAGGATATTTCCTGATACATCCCCTATGTGTGATAAATGTCAGGCTGAGCAGGGTACACTACTCCACTGCTTTGCCCTATGCTCTAGTCTGTATGGTTATTGGTGTGGAATTTTTGGGGTCCTCTCTGAAGTTCTGGAGACTTCAATAGACCCAGACCCGCTTCTGATAATCCTGGGAGTGTCCGATTCCCTAAACGGATTAACCAACTCCCAAAAACAACTAATCTCTTACAGTCTCATTTCGGCCAAAAAATTAATCTTGTTGTTTTGGAAAAGGAGGGAAGCGCCCTCTACCAAATTATGGCTCAGCGAATTGGCAAACACTGTACACTTAGAAAGAATTAGATATATTCTGAACAATAAATTATCAACATTGTGTGTGATGCCCCGACATTCGAGCAGTCGGGAGGGGAATAGGGTGGAATAAGGGGGGGGGGGAATAAAGGGGGGTATAAGTGGGGGAGTTACATCTACCCTTTTTCTTTCTACCTGCATGAGCGGACGCACACCCCAAAAATGATTGAATAGGTGCTGACTAATGGAAAGTAATCTGTGTTTTAAAAAAACAAAGAAAGAAAGTTGCACACTGCATATGCTCCCAACAATTGAATGGGTATATATACTTTCTTTTTACATGGTTCTGGGGGACCTTGAACTTAAAGTAAAACACCCACTCTACACATCACACAAACTGCCATTACACACTGTGGTCAGAGGAGGGAGACAGAGCACCACTACTGTCCACCTTGAGAAGGTTTCAAGGATATAGAGGCAGCAATTCTACTGTTAAGCTTCATTTACCTTCTCCTGGGACTGACATCCACTGATGGGGGACATAAACCTCTTTGTAAGCGGGTCAAAGTAGGCCTTATTTAAGATATAGTTGTTACATTGTGTGGTTTATGATTTTAATATTCTCAAAAATGATATACAGTAGGCCTACATTTGGAAACTGTTGACTTCATTTATCTGTGTGTGCAGGAGCATGTTGGTGTATTTGCATAAAATATTTAAGCTTTGCATAGCTGTCCTGCCTCATTGCTCCACATACTTTTAAAACCCCAGTGTTGATCAGTGACTGTTCACTCGTTTCAGAGGCACAGACACACAGCACAAGGATGACTTCACTGATTATAATGCTGGGGACACTGGGGCTCCTTGTTCAGGGTGAGAGACACTTTGACCAACTTTTATTTTAGATGTGTTTGGCTTCAGATTTAAACTGAATTTGTGAATATATAAAAACAATTCATCTGGTGTTGCCTGATATGTTTCATGATAGGATTTGGAAGATTAGCAATGTCTATTTGTTGTGATAACCTTATTAATCAGCCTTTCTTCACTTTTGTTAAATTTTTCAGAATCATCAGGAGATATAATTCTGACCCAGTCTCCTAAATCTCAGTCTGTTCACCCAGGAGAGACTGTCTCTATCAGCTGTACAGCCAGTTCAAGTACTGGTAATAATCTCCACTGGTACCTGCAGAAAACCTGGAGAAGCTCCTAAACTCCTGGTTTATACTGCTACAACCCGTCAGTCTGGGATTCCAGGTCGTTTTACTGGGAGTGGATCTGGTCGTCCTTATACTCATTACACTCTGACCATCAGTGGAGTCCAGGCTGAAGATGCAGGAGATTACTACTGTCAGCAGGGTAACAGCTATCCGTTCACACAGTGTCGTACAAAAACCTTCTTCAGCTAAAGGGGAACTGCTCTGCTCAACAGCTGCAGAGCTACAGAGTCTCTCCTATTCTAAAGTATTCTAAACACAATTTCTTCTAAATATGACACTACAATGCGATAATGTAATTGGTTAGACTTATCTATAGACTATTATACTGTACATATCTCAATATATTCAGCAAAAATGGAAATCTTTGTAAACACACTGGGACCACTAAGGATACAGAGCTGTAGAAAATGCTTTTGAATTTTGAACAAAAGTCAGAATAGTTGTAGATTTTTTTTAACGCTTGGATTTATTCTCATATTGTAAGAAGCACGTATTTCATTACACAATAGCATGAATGTTGACCCTGTCCAAACCCAACTTCCCAACTATTCATGCCCTACTCAACTTCTATAACCCTCCAACTCTGAGAGTGAATACAGTCATATCGATTCCATTCAAGAAGTACTACTTTGATATCATTATGATACAATATATCCGTCACAAATAAATGTAGTTTACATAGCCATATAAAGACCTAAGTGTGAAGGCCCCAATTTGAACATAAAGCAAAGTCTAGCGTGAAGTCTGGTTCCCCAGCCCTAGCAGGCCTAGTCAGCCACACACAGCTGCCCCAGTCCCAGAGGGTTTGAGGCTGGGAGATTGTGAGTTGTGGTATGGTGGAAACTAATATTAGGATGGGCAGGGGGACCGCCACACTCCCAGAATAGAGCAGCACTGTGGCCAGATGTTCACCTGTCCCCAGAGAGTTTAGAACACATGGCTTCAGTATTAGTATCACTGTAGGTATCTTTTGACTGGTACTCAATTTGGCCTAATAAGCCAAACATTAATTGAGAGAGGTTCATTGACTGAAATGTATCAGTAATTTAATATGCCATTTAGCAGACGCTTTTATCCAAAGCGACTTACAGTCATGCGTGCATACATTTTTGTGTAGGGGTGGTCCCGGGGATCGAACCCACTACCTTGGCGTTACAAGCACCGTGCTCTACCAGCTGAGCTACAGAGGACCACATTGTTTTTTCCATGGCAGAGAGCTCTCCATTCCCTATGAAGACTAAACAAATCATAAAGATCTCAATGTCAAATTGTAAAACTCATTAAATAATGATATCCAGGCAAACAATTTAAAAGATTGACCGTCTTTATTATCTCAACATGTCAGAACCAACAGCATTACAGCAATAAGGAACAGAACACGTGATATGAAAGCCAAGCAGATCTATTTGACATCAGAATCAGACACATATTCTGTTGTTTGTTCCACTATGCTAAAAGCTCCAGCTGGAGGAAAGATTCCCACACAGGGTCCAGCCCAGCACAAGAGTGCTAGTATTGCTGGAACAGTAAGAAGGAGAGGTGCAGAGTAAAAACAGCGGAGTCAGAGGGCGGAGGTCATTAATCAGAACACTGGTCTCTCCTCAGTGTCTCAGAGAGTGGAGACTGGGAGCCCTGGGTGGCCTCACAGTTCACAGAGCCCACCTTCCTCCACTGGTCGACAGGAAGGGTCAGGGTGCTGCTCCAGCTGTAGTGGCCTTCCTTCTCCAGGACCCCGGGGCTCCCAGTCACCTCCCAGGTGTTGCTGCTGCTACCGTCCACCTTCCAGATCAGCTTCCAGTCTGAGGGGAAGCCCTTGTTGGCCAGGCACATGAGAGTGGCCTTCGTCTGCTGCAGCGTCACACTGGAGGGAAGAAGGACTGTCAGGGTGGGACGAACGTCACCTAGAAGACAGGTGGGATGTTAGGGAGCGGGGAGCTATCAATCGATCACCAGACTGATACGACAATAATGATGGAGCAGTTTAACATTTTAGCTGTAAATGAAGGTTTTTTCCATCAGTAAGTTTCTATTCCTCAAACAGACAGTTAGTTTATCATTCTTTCTGTCACTCTTTCACTTCCCTTTGAGTAGCTACTGAAGCATATTATAACTACATGAGATTACTGAAAATACATTAAACTATCTTCAAAATTTAACTATTTAAAATTGTAAATATTTCAGCATACTTCTCCCTCATTGTAATGGAATAAACTCTTAGAAATCAAACTGCATTTCATTATTATTTATTATTATTTTAAAGAACATTCCACAGAATGTACAACCTATTCTTAAATTATGAATTCATTTCAAATCTGTTGAAAATAAGCCTATGCGTAGGAAGTAAATTCCAGTTGACTGTAACCATCTACAAATAACATACACTAACACAAAAGTTTTAATTTGTTGAAAGAAAATGAATACAACTATACTGTAATTTACGAGACATTCTATCAAGTTGAAACCAAATGTACATTCATATGAACAGCAGGACAGCAGGACTTCGCTCGATAACAACACTTTTCAATAGATATCAAATAGCAAATAAAATAGCAAATGAGATCAAATAAGATAGCAAAAAATAAATAGCAAGTAGATAGCAAAACTAAGCAATACTTTGCAGCTGAATGCTGAAGGAGTAAGTTTAAGCTTTGTGAATATAATTTTCTTACAATGAGTATATCTATATCTATAAGACACATGAAAATAAAATGAATAGAGATATGATTTATGAGACAGGGTCTCTTAACCAAAAATAATAGCTTAACATTTGAGGTCTAACCAAAAGGTATATTCAGCTTTTCAGAAAATGTTGACTCTTATTAAGAGAATAACAATTTTACCAAAAACATAATCATGCATAGTATTTATTTCATTTTAATTTTAGTTTCTTCTCTCACAAGATCATTAATGCATCTACATGCAAGGTCAGAACATTTTCTTTAATGAGTCATTAGAGGTAGGTAAACGTACTTCCAACATCCAGTCTAGTGCCTCCACCAAAAGTGTACCACAGTGATACAATCTCATTCAGCGGCCATAGAAAAACCTCTGACACTATAGAGACACTGCTTTCGCTCTTTATAAAGCTATATTTAGCTAAATCACTCTGATTTCAACAATAACCCTGTTCCAAATGAATACACGCTGTATAAGCACCTTGTTTGATATATTATAAGTTGAATCAGCATTTTAATTTAACTCAAGTTACTTCTAAGACAAATAAATGCAGCACAAATTCAACAAAAATAAACATACTTTCTATTTAAGGGAGTTGTACTACTGTTAAGAAAATGAATTGGGATTTTGATATCAGATGTCAAGCTCTAGAATTGAATACTTACTGCCAACAGTTTGGTCCCTCCACCAAAAGTCCACCACAGTGATAAAGTCTGATTGACTGGCTGTACAAAAACCTCCAGACAGACACAGAGGGGATTGGTAAGAGAGACATGGAACTGCTCACTGAATGCTGCTTTGTAACTGATGCCCCCACCTAGTACACTCTGGATGTCCAGTAGATTGGACACATTCACATTCCCCATTGAACTTTCAACAGTATGACAACTGCTGTGAACTATGTTGATATGAAGTGCCTTCAGAAAGTATTCACACCCCTTGACTTTTTCCACATTTTGTTGTTTAACAGCCTGAATTTAAAATTGATTAAATTGAGATTTTGTGTCACTGGCCTGCACACAATAGCCAATATTGTCAAAGTGTAATTATGTTTTTGGAAATGTTTACAAATTAATTAAAAATGAAAAGCTGAAATGGCTTGAGTCAATAAGTATTTAACCCCTTTGTTATAGAAAGCCTAAATAATTTCAGGAGTAAAAATGTGCTAAACAAGTCACATAAGTTCCATGGACTCACTCTGTGTGCACTAATAGTTGTTTACCATGGATTTTTGAATGACTACTTCCTCTCTGTACACCACACATACAATTATCTGTAAGGTCCCTCAGTAGAGCAGTGCATTTCAAACACAGATTCAACCACAAAGACCAGGGAGGTTTTCCAATGTAGATCGGTAAAAAAAAGAAGCATTGAATATCCCTTTGAGCATGGTGAAGTTATTAATTACACTTTGGATGGTGTTTTAAATACAAACAGTCACTACAAAGATACAGGTGTCCTTCTAACTCAGTTGCCGGAGAGGAAGGAAACCGCTCAGGGATTTCACCATGAGGCCAATGGTGACTTTAAAACGGTTACAGAGTTTAATGGCTGTGATAGGAGAAAACTGAGGATGGATCAACCACATTGTATTTACTCCACAATACTAACCTAATTGACAGAGTGAAAAGAAGGCTGCCTGTACTTAATATTCTAAAACATGCATTCTGTTTGCAACAAGGTACTAAAGTAATACTTCAAAAATGTTGGCAAAGCAATCAACTTTTTATCCTGATTACAAAGTGTTATGTTTGGGTCAAATCCAATACAACACATTACGGAGTACCACTCTCCATATTTTCAAGTATAGTTTGTGGCTGCATCATGTTATGGGCATGCTTGTAATCATTAAGGACTGGGGAGTTTTTCAGTGAAGAAAAGTCAAAATCCTAGAGGAAAACCTGTTCAGTCTGTTTTCCATCAGACCCTAGGAGATGAATTCACCTTTCAGCAGGCCAATAACCTAAAACACAAGGCCAAATCTACACTGGAGTTACCTACCAAGAAGACAGTGAATGTTCCTGAGTGGCCGAGTTACAGTTTTGACTTAAATCTGCTTGAAAATATATGGCAAGACCTGAAAACGGCTGTCTAGCGATGATCAACAACCAATTTGACAGAGCTTGAATAATTTTGAAAATAATAATGGGCAAATGCTGCAAAATCCAGATGTGGAATGCTCTTAGATATTTACCAAGAAAGACAGCTGTAATAGCTGCCAAAGGTGATTCTAACATGTACTGACTCAGGGGGTTGAATACTTACTGTATGTAATCAAGATATACAGTGGGGGAAAAAAGTATTTAGTCAGCCACCAATTGTGCATGTTCTCCCACTTAAAAAGATGAGAGAGGCCTGTAATTTGCATCATAGGTACACGTCAACTATGACAGACAAAATGAGAAAAAAAAATCCAGAAAATCACATTGTAGGATTTTTAATGAATTTATTTGCAAATTATGGTGGAAAATAAGTATTTGGTCACCTACAAACAAGCAAGATTTCTGGCTCTCACAGACCTGTAACTTCTTCTTTAAGAGGCTCCTCTGTCCTCCACTCGTTACCTGTATTAATGGCACCTGTTTGAACTTGTTATTAGTATAAAAGACACCTGTCCACAACCTCAAACAGTCACACTCCAAACTCCACTATGGCCAAGACCAAAGAGCTGTCAAAGGACACCAGAAACAAAATTGTAGACCTGCACCAGGCTGGGAAGACTGAATCTGCAACAGGTAAGCAGCTTGGTTTGAAGAAATCAACTGTGGGAGCAATTATTAGGAAATGGAAGACATACAAGACCACTGATAATCTCCCTCGATCTGGGGCTCCACGCAAGATCTCACCCCGTGGGGTCAAAATGATCACAAGAATGGTGAGCAAAAATCCCAGAACCACACGGGGGGACCTAGTGAATGACCTGCAGAGAGCTGGGACCAAAGTAACAAAGCCTACCATCAGTAACACACTACGCCGCCAGGGACTCAAATCCTGCAGTGAAAGACGTGTCCCCCTGCTTAAGCCAGTACATGTCCAGGCCCGTCTGAAGTTTGCTAGAGTGCATTTGGATGATCCAGAAGAGGATTGGGAGAATGTCATATGGTCAGATGAAACCAAAATAGAACTTTTTGGTAAAAACTCTACTTGTCGTGTTTGGAGGACAAAGAATGCTGAGTTGCATCCAAAGAACACCATACCTACTGTGAATCATGGGGGTGGAAACATCATGCTTTGGGGCTGTTTTTCTGCAAAGGGACCAGGACGACTGATCCGTGTAAAGGAAAGAATGAATGGGGCCATGTATCGTGAGATTTTGAGTGAAAACCTCCTTCCATCAGCAAGGGCATTGAAGATGAAACGTGGCTGGGTCTTTCATTATGACAATGATCCCAAACACACCGCCCGGGCAACGAAGGAGTGGCTTCGTAAGAAGCATTTCAAGGTCCTGGAGTGGCCTAGCCAGTCTCCAGATCTCAACCCCATAGAAAATCTTTGGAGGGAGTTGAAAGTCCGTGTTGCCCAGCGACAGCCCCAAAACATCATTGCTCTAGAGGAGATCTGCATGGAGGAATGGGCCAAAATACCAGCAACAGTGTGTGAATACCTTGTGAAGACTTACAGAAAACGTTTGACTTGTGTCATTGCCAACAAAGGGTATATAACAAAGTATTGAGAAACTTTTGTTATTGACCAAATACTTATTTTCCACCATAATTTGCAAATAAATTCATTTAAAATCCTACAATGTGAATTTTTCTCATTCTGTCTGTCATAGTTGACGTGTACCTATGATGAAAATTACAGGCCTCTCTCATCTTTTTAAGTGGGAGAACTTGCACAATTGGTGGCTGACTAAATACTTTTTTTCCCCACTGTATTAGTGTTTTTTTTTTTTTTTTTTTTTTACAAATGTTGGAATTTTTCTTCCACTTTGACATTACATAGTATTTTGTGTAGATTGTTGACAAACAATGACAATTAAATACATTTTAATCCCACTTTGTAACATAATAAAATTTTGAAAATGTCAAGGGGTGTTAATGCTTTATTTTACCAATAGTTTTATTTGTACTTTTCAGTTAATTGAAGGAAAGACGGCTCATTGTAATGGCTGGAATGGCCATCACAAATAACCCATCCACTGATTTAAAGTGACACCAGCCTCCGTCATGACTAACTTCAAATATTTATTTTGCGTGACAGAGTGATCTAGCCATTCATTAGGTGTCGACAGATACTCAATCTACATTATGAACTTGATTTTGATGCATGCTCATTCCAAATTGTATTGGTCATAATATAATGTTGAGTGTTAGTGTGTCAGTCTATCATGAAAATCAATGTTATCACTGATGACCCTGGCATAACCAAGACAATACAAATGTTTATTTGTAATTTTTTAAAATGTTAAACTTTGCAATAAATATAATTGTAGTAGTTTACATATTTGCATTTTATTCAGAATATTGTCAAATGAAAGCAGAAAATAACTATTGTTACAAAAATCTAAGTATCATTGAATTGGACATCAAATTACATGCTTGTATAACAAATATTACGTCAATAGAATAAAAGTATCAATGGATTATCTCACAAAAATATCTCCCACACATTACAGAAAACTTACAAGAGTAATGTAAAGTAATTTATATTTTTTAAATATACATAATCATATCAATTGTACATTGAGCAGAGGATCCAATGTAATTGTACATTTCATTTGAAATTCACACTATAATCATGTCTTAATAATTATTCATTATGTAGGCTTAACTCTCAACTCTTCCTGTGGTGATTATTGACAGGATACACCTCTGTAGAAGACAGGAAAGAAAAACAAAATGCAGGTTAACTATATGTTTGCCAATCATTGAGGAATTGGAGAAGACATTAAATGCTATTTTTACTCACTTATTCATCATCCAGATTGGCGAAGTTACTCTTCAGCTTTTCTTGCTCTTTCATATCTGTCAGTGTCTTGACTCTCTCGGGGTTGTGATCCCTCTGCGCTTTTTCAATCAGGAGTTCAAGGTATTTGGCTGCACTCATTGGGTTTGGTCTCAGAGCGATCTCATCCAGCTTTTGAACAATGCTGAGTATATTAAGAAACAAGATCAAGCTGGCAATGAGTTGCAGGTGAAGTTCTTTTATAAGGAGGATGAGGAACATCTTTGCAGTCAGCGATTGCCCTTCCAATTCTTCATACTTTCTCTTTAGGTCCAGGTAAGTTGATTCACCTTCTTCTGTTTTAAACACATAAATGAACTTCTCTTTACAATGATTCTTCCAGCTGCATTTCTTTATGCAGACGGTGCATCTGTCTTGCTGCATGCGTGTACACCCAAAATATTCTGTGCAAGGGTGATGGCAAGTTTCCCTGCAAGAATTACAATTTGTTGCCTTCTCGTCTACGGCACATTTCTCCTTTTCACTTCCATCTAAAAGAATGGAGAAGTTTCTGTTGGCTTCCATGTCCTCTTCATGTTGTTCTAATTGGTCTCTGACCTTTCTCAGTGCTTCTACCCGCTGCATTGCAACTTGTAGCTGCTTTGTTAATGTCTGGATTTCCATTTCCAGTTGTTTGCGTTTCTCTAAAACTTGACGTGTTAACACCAAGCTTTTCGCTTCCATTTTATTTAGTGATTCAAAAAACATGGCTATGTTATTCATGCTCATTTTCCAAGGTGATTGACACACATCATCATTTTCATCCTCCTCCTCTTCATCCTCTTCATCATTATGTTCTTCATCATCTTCATCCATTTGCAAACCAGCAAACACATTGTTGAATTTGAAGTAAACAGGTGTACCACTTTCATTTCTGACACGTGGAACTTCTGCCATTATCAGTGCTTGAAGGACTAAAGGCTCCCCAATGTCTGCAAAAGTACTGAGTACCAAAATGTTATTTTCTATGTCCTTTCCAAAAATTGAGAGGACAGAATCAAAAATGTACCGCTGTGTAGGTGTGAGGCGCACTTGTGCAGCTTTTACAACAAAGCACACAGCATCAATGTGGTGGACTCCTTTTGGAGATTGAAACAGCTCCTGTAGATTTTTTGTGATGAGTTTGTCTTGTTCTATTCCGCTTGTGTCTCCAAATCCTGGAGTGTCGATGATGGTTAGAGAAAATGGAAGGTGATCACCTTCGTGACCAAAGATCTCATACACAGTGATGGCAGTTGTTTGTGAACTAGTTTGACTTTTACTCTCATCAGCAATGATTTCAAATCTGTATTTATCCTCCCACTCTACGCCAAGGATGTAGTTCATCATAACATTGATGAGGGTTGATTTTCCTGATCCAGTTTCTCCCATCATCAATATCGTTCGGTTCATTTTGCTCGGGTCCTTTTTACCAAAAGTCCATCGCCTGATCTCTTCACTGTCATGCAGAATCTCTTTCTCTGTCATCAGCAGATACTTTGTTGGAGGTCCTGGACTGGTTGGTTTACAATCTTTTATAATGTCAGCATGTAGAAGCTTTGACCTGGGTTTATTTTCTGAACTAATTGCGCTTACTGACTGCCTGTAAAAAAAAATATATATATATATATATAAATTAAACATGAAATACCAGGGCAACAATTGTATGTAGTAGGCCTACACATGTAATACAGAACACACTATATTGCGCTGTATTGGTACAGCTGTATTTTATTCGTCCTGGTATTGCATCCTAAATATTAGAATGCTTTTGTTGACCATTTAACTACATTCAGGGATGTCTATTACGTTATTATTGATTGGCATAATCTTTTTTCTAAAAGTACATTTTATACCCTGAATATTTTGTGATGGGTGATTTGAAGGAGTCAGGCGCAGGAGGGTAAATCACAGAATAACAGGATTTATTCCGGAATACAGAGTTACGGAATAAAGCGTCAAAACAGTCCAGTGCACAAAACAGGTGCATTGAAACCAACAAGGAACATGGAGAAAATAAACCCGGCGACACAAAATACAAGGAGCTCCACCGAGCTTCACTAACCTCACAATAAACAATCACACACAAAGGGGGCAGAGGGAACACATATAATCAAATCAAATCAAATTTTAGCAGATGTTATAGCGGGTGTATCGAAATGCTTGTGCTTCTAGCTCCGACAGTGCAGTAATATATAACAAGTAATATCTAACAATTTCACAACAAATACCCAATACACACAAAACTAGTAAATAATGGAATTTAAGAAAATATACATATATGGACAAGCAATGACAGTGTCAGAAGGTGATGTGTACGCGGCGAGTGAAGTCAGACGCAGGACACAGAGAATCAGGTTGACTACTTTACTCAATGTAAAGCACAAAACAAACGCCTCCACAACTGGAGGGAAAAACACCATATGCGTAATATGGAAAAATAGCAAGGCCGAACATCGACATGACATGTAACAATAACACACAAATACCAAACGTGAGACAAGGGAAATTATAGGCTACACAATCAAACATAATAGACAACAGGTGTACTACTCAAGACAAAACAAGACAAACACCGAAACATCGATCGGCAGTAGCTAGTACTCCGGGGACGACGAACGCCGAAGCCTGCCCGAGCAAGGAGGAGGAGCAGCCTCGGCAGAATCCGTGACAGACAGAGAGGCATGGACTAAGATACAGTAGAATATTATAGAATAGAATGAGCTATATATATATGAGATGAGTAGTGCAAGATATGTAAACATTATTCAAGTGACTGTAAACATTATTAAAGTGACTAGTGTTCCATTTCTTAAAGTGGCCAGTGATTTCAATAGGCAGCAGCAGCCTCTAATGTGCTAGTGATGGCTATTTAACAGTCTGATGGCCTTGAGATAGAAGCTGTTTTTCATTCTCTTGGTCCCAGCTTTGATGCACCTGTACTGACCTCGCCTTCTGGATGATAGCGGGGTGAACAGGCAGTGGCTTGGGTGGTTGATGTCCTTGATGATCTTTTTGGCTTCCTGTGACATCAGGTGCTGTATGTGTCTTGTAGGGCGGGTAGTTTGCCCCCGATAATGCGTTCGGCAGACCGCACCACCCTCTGGAGAGCCCTGCGGTTGCGGGCAGTGCAGTTGCCGTACCAGGTGGTGATACAGCCCGACAGGATGCTCTCAATTGTGCATCTGTAAAAGTTTGTGAGGGTTTTAGGTGCCAAGACAAATTTCTTCAGCCTCCTGAGGTTGAAGAGGCTCTCTTGCGCCTTCTTCACCACACTGTCTGCGTGGGTGGACCATTTAAGTTTGTCGGTGATGTGTACGCCAAGGGACTTGAAGCTTTCCACCTTCTCCACTGCGGTCCCGTCGATGTGGATAGGGGGGTGCACCCTCTGCTGTTTCCTGAAGTCCACGATCATCTCCTTTGTTTTGTTGACGTTGAGTGAGAGGTTATTTTCCTGCCACCACACTCCAGCAGCCCTCACCTCATCCCTGTAGGCGGTCTCGTCATTGTTGGTAATCAAGCCTACTACTGTTGTGTCGTCTGCAAACCTCATGATTGAGTTGGAGGCATGCTTGGCACGCAGTCATGGGTGAACAGGGAGTACAGGAGGGGGCTGAGCACGCACCCTTGTGGGGCCCCAGTGTTGAGGATCAGCGAAGTGGAGATGTTGTTTCCTACCTTCACCACCTTCACCACCACCTTCACCACCAGTATACAGGTACTGATGAGGGGATATGAACCAGGTGTGTGTAATAAACAAGGCAAAACAAATGGAATGATGAGATGAGGAGCGGCAGTGGCTAGAAGGCCGGTGACGACGAACGCCAAAGCCTGCCCGAACAGGCTTTGGCAGCCTCGTAGGAAGTCGTGACATATTTTTAGTAAAACAACAGAATATTTAACATCTTTGGTAGTGATTCTCTGATGTTTCTTGAATATCAGATAAGACTATCTGCAAATAGACAACGTTTATATTACTGTTGGTTTATGGTGACCCCTGTTATGTCCTTATCTTTTCTAAGTATCTCTGCTAGCATGATGACTCATGGAAAACAAGAGTGGGGAGAGTGGTCAGCCTTGTTTAGTCCCTATCTCAAATGGGAATGGTTCAAAACTGTACCATTTGTATATACTTGCTTGGGGTGCTTTATATATTGTTTTAGTTTAATTAAGCAATTCTAAAGGGAAGATAAATCCCCTTTCTTCAAATGATTTCAATACCCACTGGGCTTGACATCCTAAAGGGGCTTTCATCACATTAGGAAAAAGGGATCCAGCTCGGTCCACTGTAGACCTCAGAAAAATAGAGTGTGAAAGCATTCTTAATTATCTTGGACTGATAGGCTGTCCATTAGACCTTCCAAACAGGTGGTCTGATTAGATGCAGACACTTGCGAGGCATTATCAGTCAAACTCCACTTGCAAAATGTATGATGCTCATATGCATATATTATCTAAATTAGATATAATGTTGGTTGAAAAGACAACTATTTTCAATAGAACATAGTCATGACATACCTGGACTGATGCATTCCTATACATGTGAAAACAAAAAAGACAACATTCCCTGATGAGGATAGATATGGATGCAATCCATCCGGATCTTAGGCTGCATTTACACAGACAGCCCAATTCTGATATTTTTTCCACTAATGGGTCTTTTGAACAATCACATCAGATCTTTTCATATCAGATATTTTCCAGAGCTGATCTGATTGGTCAAAAGACCAATTAGTGAAAAAAAGATCTGCATTGTGCCCCCTGTGTAAACGCAGCCTGTAGTCTAAAGTGAAATCATTTAATATTATATTTAAAATTTACCAACATTGTTTGTGCAATTACAGTGCTGTTCACCTCTGATTCTAATGCCTGTCTTCACAAGACACCCCAACAGTTATGTTCCATTACAGTGCCTTTAATTGTTATGCATGTTCTTAAGATTGATTGATTCGATTAATGGATATAACAACTAGTTAAAAAACTCCTACAAAAACAAACATACAATGACTGTTACATTGCAATGTCTCCCCATCACCACTGATGTACATTCTGTTTGACTGTTGACAGTAATTTTTTTAAATAGGTAAGTTGAATTATATAATTTCATATCAATTACTGCCTACGATAGCAATCTTAAAGGTAGACTCAGATTTATGACGTTGCCACAATCAGCACCGCAGATATTGTGATGAGAGCAATGCAAGACTTTGCTCTCACAGTAAAACAGAGTATCTGTGCATGTGAACAGGTTCACTTCACACTGCTACAACGTGGTAGCCACGAGACCAAAATAGCGGAGAAGTTTAGCCAAATGCTTCAACACTCTTTGTTGTTGAGGAAATGTACCCACTACTGCTGTTTACTTGGTGCATCTATGTCATCTCACTGAGTCTAACTTTAATTAATTCAATGATGTCATTAAATATGAAGTGAAAAGTATTGAATTATTGCACAATCAACATTATTACTACAGTATATAAACCAAGCTTAGTACTTTCAAGATACATTTTGTGACTTAGTATCTAACTAACTGATGATGTTTGATACACAAATTATAGTCAACTGTTAGCCTATTCTTGCAGTCCAATATGTTACTATTGGATATTTTCATTGTGAGCATAATCGCATTATCACATGTTGCAGTAAAAATGTCCCTCGACATAGTGCATCTTGTAAAAATGTTGAGTTGCACCCCCTTTTGCCCTCCGAATAGCCTCAATTTGTCAGGGCGTGGACTCTATAAGTTGCCGAAAGTGTTCCACAAGGATGCTGGCTCATGTTAACTCCAATGCTTCCCAAAGTTATGTCAAGTTGGCTGGATGTTATTTGCGTAGTGGACCATTCTTGATACACACTGTTGAGCGTGAAAAACTCAGCAGCGTTGCAGTTCTTGACACACTAAAACCAGTGCGCTTGGCACCTACTACCATACCCCGTTCAAAGGCACTTACATGTCTTGTCTTGCCCATTCACCCTCTGAATGGCACACATACACAATCCATGTCTCAATTGTCTCAAGGCTTAAAAATCCTTATTTAACCTGTCTCCTCCCCTTCATCTACACTGATTGAAGTGGATTTAACAGGTGACATCAATAAGGGATCATAGCAAGATTCACCTGGTCAGTCTATGTCATGGAAAGAGCAGATGATCCTAATGTTTTGTGCACTCAGTGTCTATGTCAGCTTTGTGTGAGGACCTCTTCTGTCAAACGCTTCTTGCTGACTCCAGATAGTTTTGAATCGGTTCTCTATCGTGATTGCCTGACAACAGACAATGTGCTGGGCCAGCTGATTTTATCCGTCCTTACACACTCTTACTGGTTTGTATAGCTAATCATGCAATGTCCATCCTTTCATTTTTGTAAGAACCCATCCCGTGCCTTGTTCAAGTTTTTCCTTTGTCATTGAAGATATCAGCAGAGCTTTTGCCTTCATTTCCTGAAGTTTCTTTACCCTGTTGATATTTTCTGTCTCTCGATGAATCAGAAGATCAATGTATTCCTCTGCTGTCAATGGATTGGGCCTTAGTGCAATCTCCTCTAGTCTTGCTACACATTTGTATGAAGTCTCCAGCAGTTCGTTTCCTTTGTCTTCTGCTTCTTGTATCTCAGACTGAATCTTCTCCTCCATATCCTCTGCTGTGATTGTTCCACCTAGACCCTGTCCATACTCTAATTTTAGATCATTGTATGTTTTCTTCACAACTTTGGGAGTAATTTGGTATACCACCTTTTCTTTTATATGATCTTTCCAGGAACATTTGCCAGGGCAAATTTTACAATGCCGGTTTCTCATGGCATCACAAAGAAATAACAGCTTCTGTGGGGCTAATGGACACCTTAGATGACAAGTCATTCCACAGTTATTGCAGTTGGTTGCCATCTTTTCAGATTCAACCCTTACAAACTCATTAGTGGTGACCACAAATTCCAAAATCTTTTTCAACCTCTATCATTTCCTTGTTTTCTTTCAAGACTTTTTGAATTTCTTTAAGTTCGATCTGTTTGTCAAGGGTTATCTTCAGCTGATCTTCTATCCCATCAATACAAGCCTCAAGATGTCTGCGTTCCTCTAGCACCTCTTGGGTCAGCTGCAAGCTTCTTGTTTCCAGCGTTGTTAGTAAGTTGATGAACTTCATCATGCTTTTCTCTCCCATTGCCCAATTTCTTTTATTATTTGTTATTATGTGTGGATCAGCTGATCTGTTTGTGAAAGATGTAATGTTGAATTTCAGTTTCTCTTTTGAACATGGAATCCTAGCTTCCTTAATGGCTTTAAGAGCAGGGGTAGGATGGTTGCCTCTGCTTGCAAATGTGATGAGTGCCAGGATGTTTTTTTCAATGTCTTTTCCAAATATGGAAAGGATGGACTCAAATATGTAGTGCTGGGTGAGGGTGAGACGAACCTCATCCTCTCTAACAACAAAACACACTGCATCAATTTGGTGCACTCCATCTTTTGACTCAAACAATTCTTGAAGGTTTTTAGTAATGAGTTGATCTTGTTCAATCCCATTTGTGTCTCCAAATCCTGGAGTGTCGATGATTGTAAGTGAAAAAGGAACACGGTCCCCTTCATGGCCAAAGATTTCATACACAGTGATGGCAGTAGTTTGAGATGCAGTTTGACTCTTTTTTTCATCTGGGATTAATTGGAATCTTTTGTTGTCCTCCCAATTGACCCCAAGGATGTAATTGGCAATAAAGTTGATGAGAGTTGATTTTCCCACTCCAGTCGCTCCCATGAGTAACACTGTTTTATTTGGCTTCACATTTTTTGTGCCTACTGTCCATCTTCTAACTGTTCCCTCCTCATTCAGGTCAACTTTGATATTGTCCAGTGGATGAATTTCAATCGACTCGTGTCTAGTTAACAAAGGGTCTACATTTGATCCAGTGCTACAGCTTGTGGCTCTGTAATGAGAGTATACATACAGGACTATCAATCAGGTGAACAGTATTGGCACCATGGAAACCCATACAACCATACTATGTGCCAACTTCATAAGGAATGTGGGTCATTCCATGTGATAATTAAACTATTATTGCTGGGACATTTTGATATTTTCCTGAAATACAGTACAAAAAAATATATCATTTAGATGAAAGATCTTTAACTAATATTCAGACTTCTTGTTCTGTATCTAAAATGGATATCGAGAAAAAGCGTTATAAAAGGTTGGTATATTCATTGCAACACATTGTGGAGCAGAGTATAGTGAGTAAAAAAAAAAAAATTCAACTTAGCATATCAGGGTTGGAATCTAACACATATTTTAAGGATGGGTGACGATTTGTTTCATTATCCAATGACAGTTTCAGTGCGAAAGTTTCTGTGTGAGAGGTGCAGCTGTGGGATTTTTAGCTTGTTGTTTTGTTTCATTATCCAATGACAGTTTCTATGTGAAAGTTTCTGTGAGAGGTGCAACTGTGGAATTTTTGGCTCTACCGCTGCTAAACCTCAGACACGGCATAAACATTCCACCGCAGTTACACCTCTGACATTGCTTAAACATGTTGCTAATTTGCATTGGTTTATCTCTGTTTCAATTGAAGCCTTACAATGTGTTGGGAAATATCATCTTGCCTATAATTCGTTTGCCTATAATGCAAAACATAGATGCTAATAGTTGCTTTTAAGTATGGTTATCAGATAAATGGATTAACAACCCCTTTACTTGAAATGAAAATTTTGCTTTTTCAAAAGACATATGTGAATAAGTCAATATACTGACTGGATACCTGAATATGGCCACATAATGTTACTTGCTCTTAGAAGGTCTAGATTTTACAGGTTGCACCCTAATTAAGTGTGCAGCCAGCAAAAAACTGTTTTGCGACGACAGGAAGGCAAGCTGAGTGACTTGTCGGGCAGTGGCTGCCATTGTAAAAAGTATTCATACAAGATCAGACTTCATCTTCTTTGCAAGTGCGGATTAAAATACTAATGATTACTAGCATTGCTAAGTATTACAGTGCCTGTTAATTTCTAAACCAGATCGCAAATCTTTGTGTTAAAGAAATACAGCTCCTAATCAATCAATTACTATCAGGGAAAAAATATGACCTTACTTCAGTTATCATTTGGTCCTTAACTTTCAAATATAATATTTAAAAAGTATATTACTTTTAGCTGTAAATGAATGTTTTCAGACATATTTACAGTATACTCTGGCACACATTGCTTTTTTATTATACTAATAATTAGCTTTCAAAAAGTACACTTAGAGCATGTTGTTTATTCTAAATTCTAAGTTGGGGCAGGTATTCTGCAACTTAGACAATGTGGGGAAAGGTTCTGTATATAATACAGTATACTAAAACATATTTAAATGAGAACAAAACATACATCCTTTCAAAAGTATTGTGAAATACATATAAAGTATCAAATAGTACAAAGAAGTAGGTCCAACATTTCCTAAATTTCATTGAGTTCAATACCATCCTCAAAATGATGTGTTTTTACTCAAATATTTATGTCCTCTTACCTTTATTTACCATGGATCTTATTACAACATCTCAAAATTGATA